CTTCAACTGTAGGGACCAAACAATTTTTATCCTAATTTAGTATGGAGCATCCTTGGCCAAAAAGACTCAGTTTTGTATAAATGGTGGGTATGGCCCCCCTGGGGTCAGAGGGGTGGGGCCCAATAGGGGAAATAGAGGTAAACCTTTAAAATCCTTCTTCTACCATAGGGATTAAGTGATTTTATCCTAATTAAGTCTGGAGCATCCTTGGCCCAAGGGGACTCAATTTTGTATAAGCAGTGAGTGTGGCCCCCCTAAGGGCAGAAGGGTGGGGGCCAAAAGGTGAAACATAGCAAATTCTTCAAAATCCTTCTTCTGTAGGAATGACAGGATTTTGTCCAAATTTAGTATGAAGCATCATTGGGTGAAGGGGAACCAATATTGTATAAGCGGTGTGTCTGACCCCCCTAGGGGAAGATAGGCGGGGCCTAATAAGGGATATAGAGGGATGAAGGTATTTTGACAAAAAGTTTGACCAACAGTTGCATCCTATGGGGAAGAAAAATCTATTTTGTGAAAATGGTGGGTCTGACCCCCTGGGGCCAGGGAGGTGGGGCCCAATAGAGGTAATTAAGCAATTCTTGAAAATTCTTCTGTAGTAATAACAGGATTTTGTCCATGTTTGATATAAAGCATCCTTTGGTGAAGGGGACTTAATTTTGTATAAACAATGTGTCTGTTCCCCAATGGAATAGGCTATGTATCATGATCATGAAAGAAAGGAATTTGTAGCAGTATGTACTGTTTACATAACTCGATCAAACAGATAAGATAAAAGAAAGGATCCAACCGACTTAGAACTAATGAAGATGGTACAATGATGAGTGCCAAGATCAGTAGGATCACTTGTTTACTAGTGTTGTATGTTGCTAACAATCATTTTCATGTTTGCTTCACAGTACTGACCATGTTGCCCTGGGTGAGATGTCTGCTAGTCCTTGTACTACTGGTCATTCTTGGACCTTTCCCAAGTTACATGTCCAGTGATCCTGTTGCTGAAGGAGATGACGGATACATTGATCCCTTTGATATGGAAAATTTCCATCATCCATCCAATCCAAGGCCTGTTCAGCATCAACAAAAGGTGAGTTTCTGCTGAACTTACAACTTGGTCAGTAAAATTACTGATTAACTATTGTTAATATCTCAAGTCATTTATTAGATGCGATATTTCCGAATATATTTACATCGTTTAAAGCGCCTGTTCAGGGAAAAAATTCACAATAAATGGGTCTAAATGCGTTCTCTGGTCAACAGTTTTGACCACTTAAATCTCGCGGAAGCCGCGCGTAAATCTAGCACAGATCTATTTATATATGTCACGTGGTTTCGAAAGAGGCAGTGAAAGCGGACAAGACAGCAATATTATAGTAAACTAGAAAGTGTTGGCTAACAATTTGACGGCCTTTTCACTGTAAGGACTGATTTGGCCTTCTATTAATAACCTGTGCAAGTCTACAGTAGCTGACTGAGTAGTGGGGGATTCCCAGAGTGCGAAATAACGTCAGAGAACGAATGGATAAATATAGGCAGCCAATGGGCTTAGTTGTATAGAAATGTAGTACGTAAAAGTCGTCATACTGTCCGTCCACTATGTATGTTAGGGTGATGAATTGAAATAGCTTTTTGTCTATATGGGTTTGGTTTGCCATGCCAAAGAAAGGCTGATGTTTACCCACTGCAGTAAAGATGTAAACTGCCCACACTTTTAAGATTGAGAGTACGTAGTAATCGATGTAGTACTACCAGCGTTTATTAGATGTCTTGATATAAATCAAAGTACTGAGAGTCCTGAGAGCACTTTACAATCGCACAAAAATGAAAACAGTTTTCGACTTTCACTTTTTAAATTATATTTAGAGTAGGTCAATGTCATTCATTTGCACACACTTTAAAGCTCTTCATTCAAGCATGTTTCTTTGCCAAACATCATTACTCTGGAATTATTGGTTATTCAGAAAAAGTTGTTTCAATATTTTTACATATATAACCTCTGTGACCTTGAAAGTCATTTAAGGTCAATCATATTTTCAAACCTGATAGCCAATTACCTCGCCGTGTTATTATTAAATAGTAGGACTCACTCTAGACCTTGTAGAACTTTAGAAGAAGTTTTTTGAAGTCATTATCTTGAAATAGCACATATGAAGTTTGACTCCTGAATAACTCAAAACAAGACCTGGTAAACTCAAAATATTTCCTGCCAAAAATGTGCGCATTTGTGTTGTCCACATCATACCTGAATGTAAAATGAATCTATCGAACAATTTTCGAAATATTCTTGATTAAAGATTTTTTTTTTTAAACATTTGACATTTGTTACCTTGATTGTGACCTTGATAGTTGATCAATGTCAACCATTTTTTTCAAACCTGATACCCAGACATCTCGGCATCTTAAATATGAAATATCAAGACTTTAGACCTTGTGGAACTTTAGAAGATTTTTTAAGGTTGGTACCCAATATAGTGCATTTTAACTTTGACCCCACCAAAAACGGGAAGTTGACATTTTTTGTTAAAACAGTATGAAAGAAAAAGTTTGCTCTTGCTTATCTCTATATGATATTCAAAGATCAACCTCGTGTTTGATATCCTTAACAAAATATATTGGTATAGGCTGTTAACCAATCAGAGTTCGTGGTGGCCATCTTGGAATATTAATTGCTCCAAAAGTAACATAAGTTTGTAAGGGCCCCTAGGGGAATACATGTACCAATTGTGGTTAATATTGCAATGGCAGAATTGGAGAAGAAGATCGTTGAAGTTTGTAAAGTTTTAACATTATAGTTTATATATACAACGATGTAGCCAGCTCCTCTTTTGTTTTAGCTGTTATAATAATATAAGTTGTTTTGTATAGTTTATATCCAACTCATGACGTTTCCCTATTCAGTCATGATAATTGCATGGGCTGTATGGTTATATATGTTAATGAAGGTATAGTAATTAGTAGATGAGAAATTGACCAATAACAGAGCAGTATATTGTCCCCTATAGGGGTCTCTTAAATGGGTAGCAGCCCCCTTCATCCGGGGAGGCTGCAGTGAACCACGGTTGTTTATGTGTATTATTCTTCGTCTTTCCTATCAATATTCCTTCACGTTTAACAACTAGGGTGCCATACATTGGAAAAGTGTTGCACTAAAAACTTTTGAACAGTTTCCTTAATTCTTTGGTCATACTCGAATAACACATTCATTCAATTTTGGCTTTAAATTCTAGGGGAATTCACCCCCAATCTCAACATAGTTTTAAATTAGTGTGGGGATGCGGCTTCTCTTGTATTACAGGAGTCTAGCTGCTCTCATCATGGCTTCTCTAGGGGTGTTCACAACCAGAGCCTAGTCGCTTCTCTGGAGACATTTTCAGAGTCTAGCTGCACACTTCTCTGGGCTGTGTAGGTGCTTCTCTGAAGACATTTTCAGAGTCTAGCTGCTTATCTGGGATGCGGCTTCTCTTGTATCATAGGAGTCTAGCTGCTCTCATCGTGCCTTCTCTAGGGGTGTTCACAACCAGAGTCTAGTCGCTTCTCTGGAGACATTTTCAGAGTCTAGCTGCTTCTCTCAATACCCCCGGAGTCTAGCTTGTTCAAAAAATAGTAGCATAAATATATGGTAGTAAAATTGTTGGAGTGAGTAGCCCCTGATGCGCCAAATGTATTACTGTATGTAAATATGTTTCTAACAAGAGTAGTAAACAGGTTAACTGTTTCCTGTGTGTTAGTTGTATATAAAATGATAATTTCATATTTAATATATTAAATTATAGCTTATATACAGCGATGTGGCCAGCTCCTCTTTTGTTTCAGCTGTTATAATAATATAAGTTGTTTTGTATAGTTTATATCCAACTCATGACGTTTCCCTATTCAGTCATGATAATTGCATGGGCTGTATGGTTATATATGTTAATGAAGGTATGGTAATTAGTAGATGAGAAATTGACCAATCACAGAGCAGTATATTTTCCCCTATAGGGGTCTCTTAAATGGGTAGCAGCCCCCTTCATCCGGGGAGGCTGCAGTGAACCACGGTTGTTTATGTGTACCCACCCACCATCCCCAGCTACATGCCAAGTTTCATATATGCATATAAGTTCTGCCAATTGTAATGTAGTACTTATCTTTTGTTGTTTCCCTATATTTTGCAGCTTTTCTCATGATTGTATCTTTGTGCAATGTCATTTTAACATGTACCATGTATACTTGCCTGTGCAGGTATTATTGCTCTCTTTTAGGTTTGGGCTACTCACTTCAGGTAGGTTATTATATTTCTTCACTTCAGTTCTAATCTGGCTTTAAATTCTAGGGGAATTCACCCCCAATCTCAACATAGTTTTACATTAGTGTGGGGATGCGGCTTCTCTTGTATTACAGGAGTCTAACTGCTCTCATCATGGCTTCTCTAGGGGTGTTCACAACCAGAGCCTTAGTCGCCTCTCTGGAGACATTTTTAGTTGTATATAAAGTCAGCATTTTAAAAGATCAAAGGAAATATTCAAAATGGCGTACAACGTTAATGGTAAATGTACAGAAAAACTAAAGACATCAAATTCATCGGAATGACATTCTTCATCGAGCAGTTGAAGAATTCTTCAAAATAAATGAAAAATGAATATTTTTTAACCATTGTTACCTTTGTCCCAACAGCAAGCTTTTTTTATTTGACCATTTAAGTAATAACATACAATGGAAAAAAGTTAGCCCTGAAGATTATCTATATATAACATCCGTGCTTAAAGGCTGTAAATTCAACCATTTTTGCATTATAGCCATTTTAAGATTTTGAGGTATGACGTCATAGTGGCCTTTTTTTTTCCGATGAAGTTGAAAATGTTACCAAATGTTAGAAGACATCTGGAGAAACCTTTGTCATTACAACTAAACGAAATATTTGTCATCGGTGTTGGAGTAAAACAAGTTTTAACATATTGTCGGTATTTTTAAAAGATCAAAAGAAAATATTCAAAATGGCTTACAACGTTAACGGTAAATGTTACAGAAAAACTAAATACATCAAATTCATCAGGATGGCATGTAACGGTCTTCGCCCCTGGCTCAACCCTTTACATGGAAAGCACGACTATTCAAAACTGTCACTAAATGCTTATGACAAGCCCCCAGGAAATTATCTGGTATTTCCAAACCAAGTACCTAATGACTGACTTGTTCTAAGTAACTAAAGAAGAACCAGAAAGCATAAGATAAGTTTACGCACACCTTTACCATTACCGTTTATTAAGGAACCCAATATCAAATTACACAGATACAGATCTATACAACAATTCTACAGACTCTTTCCAAATTCTCTCATAAAGATGATGTACAATAAAGGTAGAACTATGTCTGAACCCTGGATACCAGAACTTTCTGATATATGTAGGGGACAAAACAAGTCTATTTATCCCTACTGTAGTTTAGATAATAACAGAAGTGCCAATGAATGAATACTATAAAATACCAACTGTAAATGAATTAATATAGTAGGATTAGCAAATGGATAAAATATAGATATAGAATTATTCTGATCACTAGGCTCTATGAATCAATGATTCTAAAGTCAAACTCTATTGTCTGAAACACCAAAAGTACCACCAAAAGTACGCTAGAAAGACAAAGTTAAATTATCTTCCATAAATGTTAATATTACTAAAATCCCCCGTCCATCCCCTTATCTACGATTTGCTTCCTTTAACCTATTAACTAAACATACTGACAACTACACGGTTTTAGAACGATCCAAAGATGTAGTAGCTGCCAGCTGCGCATAAACCAACCTTACACTAAGAATATCCGATTGCAACTGATTTCCCAACGCCCCAAGGGATCCCTACGCTTATAGTAAGAACGCTAACATCTACGGGGCAACACACGAGCTCAACGGGGCAACACCCGTTCCCCAGCGGACTTCGAAGAGGTAACAGCGCCACACCCGTTGCTGGCAACGTAGTATCCGTTGAACCTAAATAAAATACGACAATCTACATTGGCACTTGTATGAAAAACACTTCACAAATCAACATTAATATATAGTATTTCATAGTATTCACATCTACAACTCTTTCGTACCGTTATTCACTCTCTGACTCGCAATCCAATACTTCCAACGCATCCCATATTTCCATCGAATCCCATATATCCAATACTTCCAATACACAACGGAATAAACACTCAACTGACACAGTTCAGAAGGTCACGAGAGTTCACAAAATGGCGATATTCACACACACTCGCAGCAGTCACGCTCTCTGCAAAACATTACCTTTCTCGCTCTCTCCAGACGGGTCTTACACTGGACTAACTATTAACCAAGATAATAAAGGTATTTGCATCTGAATAATAACCATATTGAACACTGGAAAACACTTTAATAAGAGTAAAACCGTTTGAATGGACCTTGTTTTTACAAACATGTGTTTGACAAATCCAAGTTATTACAACATTTAAACTACTGTCACAATGGTGACACTACAGTCAGTGGCTATTATTGAACAATTCAGGGAAATATCATACTTCATGACAAACAATCTAGTAAAATACCACATTTTTACTTTCCCCCCCTACAGATCTCTTCACAGTAAGTGTAACTAATTCACCCAGCCATCGCGTCAAGGATGTCGTTTGGGTGGTCAAACGCGGTGATAAATCACATCAGGGACTTTGATGATCGCATCACCGCGATCCTTCACGTCTCATGTCACGTAATTGTGTCACGAAAATCCGCGGAGGATCGACCTCCGCGTTCCATCAAGGTCATCGCGTTCCTCGGTGACCGGTTCAGATAAGCCTCACTTACGCGTATACGCTGACCCAATATTTCCTGTGCTGGAAGAAAGATAAGTCTAACCGGTTCACTCAATGTGTAATAAGTATATATCCTTACGTCACGCTACCACGATTGGTACAAATGTGACAGTTTTTCAGTGATATTAAAAATTTAGATCTTGTACCTGGAATGTTTCTTGATTCCTGACAAACACTATCTATGGTGGTTCCTTTTCAAAAAAAGTTTTTGATTCTAAGATATTTGTTTTGGAACGCTAAACTCGCAGTTAGATTTCATCCGTTTTATGGCTGTGATTAGTACCTCAAATTGGTACACCATATCACAGACTATAAAACTTGTTTTTATTTTTACTAGTTGATGTGCAACAAAATATATTACTTTTATATATAAGGACCAGAAATCAGCATTCAAATATGCTTATTCAAAATCCTCCAAAATTTCGTCGACGCACGTTGATTTTACTGGTTTTCTGAAACAAAACTGCTACGTGAAAATGCTGATAAATATCTCCTTTGTTACACTGCCGAAGGAAAAATGCTCAAATTTAATCTTAAAGTTTTATTCGAACCATTTTCTGACCAATTTGGGTAGTATGCCAATTGTGGTAGCGTGACGTTACAGTATACACATATACTTAACAAAAAGAAGCAAATCATCGTTTGAGGAAACATATCATATTTTGCATCAATACGTTAAAAAACGGAACCTATTATTACATACTCATTCAGAGGTAAAAAAATACGTCTCTGGTGTAATCCATGGTTTTGTTTTGAAATGTTTTAAAAATCGCTTAATCATTTATTTACGGCTTGACGTATACACAAATGTACATGTAGGGTGATGTAATCGATCTCGGTAAATTATATACCTGCAGCTAGGTTTGTGCTGTATTTATACAGCTGGATATAAGGGGATTATATGATTGGAAAATATATCGCCCTAAGAGACCTGGACGCGACAATATGAAACATCGTCAGTGTGTTAATAAAAGTTCTCAAATGTTTATTTATTTTNTCGTGACAGTATACACATATGCTTAACAAAAAGAAACAAATCATCGTTTGAGGAAACATATCATATTTTGCATCAATACGTTAAAAAACGGAACCTATCATTACATACTCATTCAGAGGTAAAAAAAATACGTCTCTGGTGTAATCCATGGTTTTGTTTTGAAATGTTTTAAAAATCGCTTAATCATTTATTTACGGCTTGACGTATACACAAATGTACATGTAGGGTGATGTAATCGATCTCGGTAAATTATATACCTGCAGCTAGGTTTGTGCTGTATTTATACAGCTGGATATAAGGGGATTATATGATTGGAAAATATATCGCCCTAAGAGACCTGGACGCGACAATATGAAACATCGTCAGTGTGTTAATAAAATTTCTCAAATGTTTATTTATTTTCAATACTAGCATAAAAAAATTGTCAGTTGATCAGAAGTGATTCTTTATATCGTAGCGACGATAGGCTGTTTGGTTTGTTACCTTTGTCCACGGTCTTTGATAGTAAATCTAATTACGTCCTTTGTCCGAGTGCAATTGTACAATCCTCATTGATTATCCAGCCCGTAGCCAGCTCCAGTGCAGGTGTTTGGCGTAACCACTAGTTATAAAAGCATCCATATCGCAGTCATTTTCGAATCATCTCGTGTCTCACAAAGATCGGATACAGGCCAGAAGATGAGCATCTTTGTATTTGCGAAAACAGCAAAATATCTGCATTTGACGGATTCAAAATAATTTCTAAAAATTAATCAACTATAGTCGTTCAGTTATTATAGTTATTGTGTTGAAAAAGTCTCTCCGTACCCCCTTTTTCCTCTCGGTCGTTATCTTGACCAGTGATAATACACCACCGAACAAGCCTCAATGCAATGACACTAATTGCAGTAGGTCAATTATGTTAAAATAAACCATTTGGAAGTTCAGGGGATATCCCGACGGATTTCCACACCTGTCTCTGAGGTGAATTGCTATCTGTTATATAGAAAGGTTGATAAAGTGCACTTATTGCTTTAGGGTAACATTTCTTAATAAACAGATTTTCAATATTCAAACTTATGTGCTTGGTGACCGGTCACACGATTAAATCAAAATCTTTTTGGTGATTCGAAACCATATGTGCTGAAGAACTCGAGCATGTGTCCATACAAATATGTTCCAATTACATTTCGGCAACGAAACGGCCCGTTAATCATGGAGCAAAATTGATTAATACCAATATAGGACATAAATAAATTTTGCAAAACTGTGCCTATTTTGAAACAATAATCCCTGTGTTACTATTTTATTTCTATTTCCGTATATTCCAACTACATTGCTCCGGCGAAAACGGAATTTGAATTGAGCGAGATTGAAAAAAGTTGAGATTTAATCAATAGTGTTAGCCCAATCTTTCAATTTTTTTTTACACATGACCCATATTCCCAACCTCGTCATACTTTCGTGACGTCATTTCTGCATTGCGTAACGGGC